GCTTATAACTGCTAATTTTTAGTGCTCCTCAACTGCTGCCTTCTCTGCAGCTAAAGAAGTTTTGATTTTAAACTGAATGCATTTACATAAATATATTTTCATATAGCAAAATACTTCAACAATAGTTAGTTACACTGTCCTCAAACTGGTCTAAGTTGAGAACTAAAAGCTACCTTTCTCTGAAAGCTGAATGTATGTCCCTGCTAGAGTACAGAGCTCCTTATTTGCATCCTCTCATTACTCCAGCCATCCAAGCACATAACTATATAAAAAGCTACCAGCACCCAACTATTTCCTCAGTTAATCAGTTTATCAACCATGACCAACATCGTGAGATGCTATTGGCTATACCACCCATGTAATCTCAATTCCACAACACTGTACTGTGATGCTTACCAACACATGCTACACAGTTTTGTATCAAAAATCTCACAGTAGAGATGAAAAAGGTGAAAGGAAACACTTAAAAAATAAAAGCTATACTGCACAAGACACTTTTGGAATTGTGTTCTCACTGATGGCAGTTCACTCTCATTCAACTGAGTGAAGCAAATGGAGTAAGATGTGTATGTATCTCAAAAGGGCAGAAGAAAGCTGACTAGCTTTTAAAGATTTACTTCAAGTACTGGGAAGGGAAAAAACTCCAGAAAACTACATGCAATTAATGGAGCCTAAAAATTAATGCAGTAATTAAACAACAAATGGACATAATGATAAAGAATAAGTCCTTCTCTCTTCCTGTCCTTCATAAAAACATAAAAAGACTAGGGTTGTAACCTGAGGATGGTGAATGGTCACTTGCCAAGAAAAACAGCCCTAGTGCAGATGTCCTGAGGCACAGCAGGGGATCAAAGTGAGCAAGGCCAGTTTCTAGAGCTGAGTTAACTGCATTTGGCTGAGGAAACAGAGATGGAGTAGCAGTAGCAACTGATTTAAACACAACTCTCTATTCCTCCCAGGCTACATTTCCTTGCTTTCACTCTCTGTAAACTGTTTTAAGTTTGGCCAGGAGCGCCTTGTTCATATGTGCAGGCTGCCTGCATCCTTGTCTGATTTCTCTTGCAAGGAGACAAGCCTTGAACATCATCCAGCTCTCCTGGGGCCCCCTTCCCTCCAGGGCTCTATCCCCTGGTAGTCTACCAAGAAGAGGCTGAAGTCTGCTCTCTGAACTCCAGGCTAGTGAGCTTGCTGTACAACCTCCTTTCTGCTGTTTAAGCAAGAATCTCAAACTCCACCATTTCACAGGCACTGTAGCCCAGAATGTCCCAGAGCTTCACATTCCCCACTAGCCCCCCCCTGTCAGAACAAAATCCACCATAGCACCTCTCCTCCTTGGCTCATCTATCCAACCTGTAGAGGAAGTTATCACCAAAGAATTCCAGGAAGCTCCTAACGCAAGAGGTTTTTGTCTCTCTGCAATGTCCTTTCAACAGACACTTTTTGAAGTGTGTTTGAAGTCCCCCACGAGAATCAGGGTTTGTGACGGCAAGGCCACTCCTGTCTTTCTGTAAAGGGCCTCAGCTGCATGGTCTTCCTGGTCAGACAATCTGTAGCAGACCCTCACTATAAAGACACCTGTCCTTTTGTGCCTTGAATCCGGACACATTAACTCTCAGTCTCATCCATCCCCAGGTGAGGCTCCATGATCTCCAGCTGGTCACTCACATCAGGGCAACACCACCTCCTCATCTCCCTTGCCTGACCTTCCTAAGAAGCCCATATCTTGCCATTTGAGTCACAGGAGTCAACCTACATTTCCATGATGCCAGTGACTGTAGTTCTGCGGGCCTGCACGTATCTCTAATTCCTCCTCTTTATTTCCCTGGCTGTGTGTAAATTAGCATAGAGGCATTTGAGTTAGGCCCCAGACTCCTATGAAGCTTTCTGGCTGGAGTATCTGGAATTCCCTGATGTTGTAATTCAAGTGCTCTCCTGCTGACCCTCTCAGGCTCTAGGCACCTCTTGCTGACTGGAAGAGCATGTCAGCCCACACGTTCTCACCATTAAATCTGATTATATCCCCTTCCCCCAAGTGGATATCAAGTTTAATGCCCCATCAATAAGCTCCACGAGCCCCTGACAAAGGACCTCCTTGCCCTTTTACAAAAGTGAATCCCATCTGAATTCATCACATCCAGGACCATGGAGGCCAACCCATTACACAAAAAGAATGAAAATTGTGGCAGTGTACCACCAGCCCCAGAGTCAGGTATTAAGACTGGATCCATCTGTTTTTTTCAATGTCACTACCTGCACCTAACAAAAGTAGAGGAAAAACAACCTGTGTCCTTGATTACCTCTCCGACCACCCCAGGACGTTGAAGTCTCTTTTGACAGCCTCTGGACTCTGCATTGTAGCTTTATCACCATGCACATGGACGACCAAAACGTAGTGTGAGTCCGATGGCTGAACCAGGCTAGGAAGTTTCCTGGTGATGACCATAACTCACATCCCAAGGAGGCAGACTTTTCTGTTGGAGACGGACCTTTGTCCTAATTATCCACTGATTTTCCTACCACATCCAGAGCCTCACACTTACTGCACAAGGCAGCTGGGAGGGTGAGGTGGACAAGAAGGGCTTTTGTCTGTTGTGCCAAGCAAGGACTTGCCTCCTTTCACTCCTTCCCTCTGATCTACTGCCTTCAGCCTGGCAGGGGGAGGTTATGCAACACTCTTGATATGGATTTCTTTCTGGTTTCTGCTCCTGTCTCAGGAAGGCCAGAGCACAGTTCAACTGGTGCATCTCCACCCTGGAGTCCCTGATACTACTTAATCTTTCTATCTCATCTCTTGGAAAACACACTGGGGCATTCACTTAGCTACACTGCATAGCACCTGCTAGACAGACAGCAAATTAATTTTTACTGAATGTATTTAATGACACTCATTTATTATTTCAGCCTAAGTACTGAGTGGTTAATGCAAAACTAAAGTGAAAAGATTCTACATTTAATTCTAAGGTAACAGAACTGGTACACAGCTCCACTGTTTTACCTCCTTGTTGGTAACTAGGATCCTAACCTAAATTACAAGCAGCTCAAGAGCTTTGCAGAAACCTTTCACTGATATTGCTTACTCATTAAAGCAGTGGAAAATATGGTAAAAGACCAGCTTATGAGACTGTTTTCCCTTCAACTTTGTTTATTGATGTACTGAACATGAAAAAGTACAAAGAATCCAAACACAAAAGAAAACATGTACAACCTCTTAAATACCCAACAGAATATATTCTCTATTCCAACAAATGTGAATTAAGTCATACTATACAACTTCAAATAAATACCAGCCTTATATTTTACTAAGTGCTCTGATAAACACTGTAAAGTGAAGCCCAATTTACATGCCTTCTCATCAATGCCGTTAGTTGCTACAGTAGTATAGGAAAGAAGCACGTAGCTACTATTTCTCCCACATCAGAAAGTTTGTGATTTCTATACTATATACAACTTTTAATGCAGAGGATTAGCTTTAACAATCTAAATGCACCTAAGAATGAAGAAGTACTCAGGAAGCCAATTGATTTTTGAATAGCATTGAGTGGGTCAGCATGAAAACTTGCTTAATCACTTTAGCACGCGCTTCACAGTATATGTACTGTACTATACTGAAAATTTTATAACTACAATTTAAAAGAATAAGAACCAAAAACAACTGCAGAGATAGTGTACAACTATGTTATGCATAGAACATTGCTTTTTCTAAGGGGAAGCATATGAGCATCTCAGTTTATACAAAAAGCAGGACGTAACTACATAGTTGTCAGTGCATCCTGGTGAAGGCATCAAACCCTCAGCTTTTTTTTAAAAATTTAATTATAAGCTAGATGCTAATCAGAAAATATTCTGTATTTGTTTTCCTTAAATTTCTTCAATACATGGTAAAGACTTTTTCTATTTCCCCAAATAGTGATTTAAGCATCATACAAAGTTAAACTTCAATAGCATACAGGTATTTATGGTTTTCATATGAAAAATGTAAGGAAATTTGCTCAAAACATATGTTTATACTTGTTTTTTTACCACAAACATATTTATAAACAAAAATGTTGCATCACCATAAACAGCTGAAGCTAGACTATCTACAGACAAAAATAGCAACAGATCTGATGCACTGTAAATTCAAGTCCTCCGGACCAAAAAAAAAAAAAAAAAAAAAAAGAAAAAAAAAAAAAGAAAAAAAAGAAAAGAAGCAGACCTCAAGTAACAATGTTAATGCCATTTACAAAGAAAAAACTTATACAAAAACATTCAAAATTGAACATCACTTGGCATGTAACTTTAAAAAAAAAACTATAATCAAAATTAGCTGAAAGGTTCGTAACTTAAGTTCTTATTTACATTACACAAAGCTCAGGTGTTAGCCTTGAACATAACTTTCAAAATACCTCTTAATGCATCCAACTCAGGCCACTTCGGCTGATTTGCTACTGCACAAATCATGCTTGATGTCTTTTCTTAAGACAAAACAATTCTTCAAACAATAGCAAGTACATCACTAAACACCTTGAGCTCTATCTGAAGGGAATTCTTTAGGAAGAACAGATTTTTTTTCCCCCATATCTCAGTGTTTTAAGTTTTCTGCTTGCTCTTATATTCTTTTTTTAAATTTTCATTTGCTTCAAAATCACAAATTAAAGTGAGCCACCTATCACTTAATAACCAGGATGATCAATGACTCCACTGATGATTACAAAAATGAAACCAACAGTGCATCCCATTGACTTTACTTCTTAATACAAAGGTCTCAAAAGTAGTTCTACATCATAAATCTTTCTAAATTTTTTCCCAACAATTGCAAATTTCCTGGTAAGTTTTAAAAGCTCACTAGTTGTCATACGAAGAGATTTCTCAAAGTATTCAAGTCAAAATATTTGTTCCAGGACCAGTAAAAAGTTTCTCCAAATTTTTTATTTTTTTATAAAAATAGATGCTTTTTTAAACCCACATCAAAGAGGCTCTTATCTCTTTGGCAAGGTACTGCTTTACGAAAAGTTCTCCAGTATTCTTACAATAAGCTTTTATAATGTGTTCCCACTCCCCAACCCAAATGAAGATGATGAAATAAATACTGCTTATAACTTTATAAATAAAATGTAAACTTCAGATACTTTTCTTGAACAACAAAACAATATTGCATTACAATGTAAATTAAACACAAAGCAAATCAAGAAATGACAAAAAAAATATAGTATTACACAAAGCCTTGATATTTACTCATAGATTAAAGGCAGTCATGTATAAAGAAAAAAAACTTCTTCCCTTAGCTGAAACATTTTAAAAGGTCCACCTTCTTCAAAGAAGGCAATAGAATACGCATTGTGACAGGTAAAAACCCTGTACCTCTTGTCAATACTCAAACACAAAAGATAGTTAAGAAGTTCTAATTCAAATAGTAGCAATAAAAAAATCTCACATATTCTTAGGATGCTAAGTAGTCATTTTATCCCCATTTCCACACTGGCATACAACAAAGGCATTTACTAATGCATAAAGCTTCCTGTAAATCGCCTTTGTTGTATAGTTTTCATGTATTAATGCACTGAGAATAACTTGTTAGGCTTTGTGCGTTTTGTTTGTTTTGAAGGAGACCTGCAGTACTCTGTCACCAAGGCGGTATCCGTTCAGGCTGGCTATTGCCATAGCTGCCTCATCGTAGTTTGTCATAGTCACAAATCCAAAACCTTTGCACTTGTTGGTGTTAAAGTCACGGATGACCTTCACGTTGGTCACTGCTCCGAAGGGTCCAAACATCTGCCAGAGGATACTCTCATCAGCATCAGGGGCCAAGTTGTACACAAAAATGCACCACCCAGTTCCTGCATGTCCAGGGATATTAATTCCGGCCAAACTGGTCATTCCATCAATGGTCATTGGAGGAAACCTACTAAAGAATGAGGGAAAGCAGAACAGAATCATCATATAGCTGTTCACACAAAACCCCAGCAAAGAAATGTCAAAATAAAAGAAGAGAATGATACAGAGCTTTTCACAGAATGAACATGTTGCTCAGACTAGAAAGATAAGATCAAAAATAGTTTTTGCCCCCTAACTGCGCAAATACTATGTAAAAAATTATACACAAGTAGGGAGAACAGTGCTAGGTATGTCTGAAATGATGTAACAGAAAATCAAAAGGAAAGCATGCTATAAAACCAGTGAAGATTAGCAAGTAATTTGAAACAGGAATTCCATGGAACTTCTACAAAAGGCTTGTCTATTTCATGCAAAATGCATCAAAATGAACAATCTCAGCTGAAGTCTCAACATGCAAAAATCCAACATAAGTCTTACTGAAAAGTAAGAGTTTGCAAAATACTTCAAAATAATTTGGTTGTTATGAACCAACTAATCCTTTATTACCTCTTTACTCCATAAGCTATGTTGAGCAGATTGTCCAACCTGCAAAACATTTAGCAACATGTTCAGTCTTAAGACTTTTCCACCCTTTAAGATAAGGAAACTTAGCATATTACTGTCATATCCATTACACTGTACCAAACCTCATCCAATGTTAAAGTACCACCACTGAAAGAGCCATGGCACCTTATTACATCTGATAGTGAAGACAAAACAGATATTCTTCGTGGAGATGCTTATTGGGAAATAGGTAGCATCATCCACCATCTAAACCCCACACTGCTACAATTCTTGTGTAGTAACCACCACATACTGTTACCATAATGTTACAGTCAGTGACCACATCAGTCAAGTTTTCCACATTACTAACCTGGTTGAGAAAAAAACTTTTACTAAGGTTTCTGACACGTTTGCTGACATGACTATCAAGACAGATGCAGTATTTTGGATCACTAGCAACTATTGTAACATAAACTCAAAAAAAAGATTTTGCATGTTCCTACTCCTTCTGGCAATCCCAGAATGTTGGGAGGCGGAAGGCTGAATTGGCTGAGCAGGACTAAGCAGAAAAAGTAAGTGTAAGGACAGTGGAGGCAAAATCAGGTGGATATGGAAAGAATACAGAGCTATTGCTTGCCACTGGAGGGAAAAAATTTGTGTGGCCAAAGCTCAACAGGAGTTGAAGCTTGCCAGCAATGTGGGGGACAACAAGTTTTTAAAAATGTCAATGTCAAAGAGCAGTCCAAAAATAACATCAGCCTGTTACAGAATGAAAATGGTCACCCCACAAACAAGGACACAAACAAGGCAGAGAAGTTTAATTCTTTCTTTGCCTTCATCTTTAATGCTGATGATGGGCTAAGAGGGTCCCAGTGTCTTGGGCTGTGAGAATGGTGAACAACCCTGAACATGTGTGGGATCTCCTGTTCCAACTGAGTCCCTCCAAATTTATCGGACTGGATGGGATTCATCCAAGGACACTCAAAGAACTGGCAAATGTCTTTGTGAGGTCTCTTTCAATGATTTTTTTCATGATCTTGGGAAGGTGGTGTTGACTGGAAGCTGGCTGACACTACCTCCATTTTCAGTAAAGGCAAGAAGGATGACCTTGAAACTATAGGCCCATCAAGTCTCACTTCAGTGCCTGGTAAAATTATGGAGATTATTCTGGGAAGTACTGAAAAACACAATCACAGCCAGTGTGGCTTCAAGAGGGCAAAATCCTGCTTGTCAAACTTCAATTTCCTTTTATGACAGGATAACCCACCCAGCTGACCAAGGGAAGTCAGCTGATGCAATGTTTTTGGATTTCAGTAAAGCCTTTGATACTGCCTCTCCCAGGATCCTTCTGGACAAAATGTGCAGCACACAGCTGGATAAATGTATCATGGGATGGGTGAGCAACTGGCTCAGGGCTCAGGCACAAAGGGTTACAGTGAATGGGGTGACACCTGACTTGGTAACTAATGCAGGACTTAAAGAACATATACTTAGTAAATTTACCAATGACACTAAGTTGTTGGGAGGACCTGTTGACTCCCCTTAAGGCGGAGGGAACTCTGCAGAGACACCTTGACCAATGAGAGGGTTGGGCAATCACCAACTAACTACATGACATTTAAAAAGGCCAAGTGTCAGACTCTGCACCTGAGATGGGGCAAACCAAGATGTACAGAGAGACTGTGGAGCGAGACACTGAAAATCATGGCAAAGGACCTGGGGCTTCAGGTCAACAGAAAGCTGAGCATGAGTCAGCAGTGCCCTAGTATGCAAGGAAGGCCCCCATGTCCTGGGAGGCATCAGGCACAGCGTCACAGTTGGGCAAGGGAGGGGATTGTCCTGCTCTGCCTTGCACTGGGGTAGGCTCACCTCCAGTGCTGGGGGCAGTTCTGGGTGCCACAACATAAGAAAGATATAAAGCTATTAGAGTGTTCAAAGGAGGGCCAAGAAAATGGTGAAGGGTCTGAAGGGGAAATTGTACGAGGAGCAGCTGAGGTCACCTGGCTTGTTCAGCCCAGGGAGCCTGAAAGGTGGCTGGCCTCCTCACACTCTACATTTCCTTGTGAGGGAAGAGGAGGGGCAGGCACTGATCTCTTCTCAGTGGTGACACTGACAGGACCTGAGGGAATGCCCTGAATTTATGTCGGGGAGCTTAGGTTGGATATTAGGAAAAGGTTCTTCATCCAGAGGGTGGCTGGACACTGGAATAGGATTCCTAGGACATGTCACCAAGCCTGCCAGGATTCAGGAATTGTTTGGACAATGCCCTCAGGCAATGGTGTGACTCTTGGTCCTGTGCAGGGCCAGGAGCTGAACTCAATGATCCTTGTGGATGCCTTTCAATCCAGGATATCCTATGATGCTATGATTTTACCAGATGAAATGTTTCTATAATATACATACACACATATATATTATTTTCAAGATTTTTCCACGTGGTTCTTGCCTCACTTTTCCCCAATTACAGAATGCCACAACTCTAAACCCCTTCAAATAATCTAGCCAATATCTGAAATATGCAGTCCATACCACTCCTATTGCTCTTATTCCTGCTTCTTTCAAGAAATGTTCACCCTGAAGAAGCTCTTATTTCTTTTTGACAAATCACAAATACATGAAGAAGTCTTATTATAGATCAAGACTCAATAAAATATGAGCTTAGGTAAAAAACATACACTTGATTTAGTTTTCCAGAGAGCACTGACTCTGCAGTGAGCTGGGTTTGCAGAATACACTGACAAGAAACTACTGAACTCCTAAAAGAGCAGAAAAAGGAGATTAAAAAATACCTGACTACTAGCAGTAGACAGTGTGGATGACTGAGGTCTACTGTCACTGACATGAGTGGTGGAAAGCAAGGTGAAGAGTTCTACAAACACCACCACTTATAGCTCCTTGTTACAAGGGCTGTCAGATGAGGGCTTTATACAGTAATGGTATCACTTATATGATTTTTCAGTTATCTTGACGACTTGAAAACACTCTGGAAATATTCTCAGAGACTTTCAGTGGAAAATTTTTAAAGACACTTTAAGTTATACATCTTATAGAAACTGAGGAGCAATTATATAGATCTTCTTTTGAAAGTCTAGCCCAAGTTTTCACTTAATAAGAAAAAAAAAAGAAGCATTGTTTTGATCCTGTAACTTTGATTGTTAATACTGAAGAAGTTTTCAGGCCTCTGTCAACTATTAACAGAGATCGGGCAACCGCAGCAGGTCATTGCCAGAGTATGTTGAATAAGCTTGTGACACAAACCCCATGATCTTATTTCACACAATGCACTTGACTCCATCCTGCAATTTCTGCCCCCAGACTTTTGTCTATAGAATAATGGCAAGTCTACTTTTATGCAATATTCAGAACACTGTTGTAAGCTATCCCTTTTATTACCTAGGAAATAGTAAGAAGAGCCACAAAAAAGTAAATAAAATTTGTTATGCCCTCTCCTACAGCAGAACACCTACACCTCACACCTGTGAGATGCAGCAGATAACACCAAAAAAGCTGAATAGAAGAAAAAATTTAAAAATTCTAACAGAAGTGCAGGCCATGAACTCTTGAATATTTAGTATAAGCAAGCCTAGCCAATGCAGTGCATTCGAAATTTGGTATATTCTCTTTGAAGCAAGCTGTCAACTGTTTTTTTTCCTTGAAAAAAAAAGACAGAGATACTCTTTGAGTGTATTACTATTTAACACAACCCAGTCACACTGTTCAGGGGCAGAGAGAGGGAAGAAAAGATCACAAAAAAAAATCCAAGGTACTCATGGATGTAGATAGTACAGTGTTTGTTTCACTTTGTTCTCACCATCAGTTCTTTTCAATACACTAAATAGCACAGGGAACTATACAGCAATAGTTTCAACATGATGGAAATGTAAGCCCCCAAAAAGCACATGAAAAAATATGTCAGCAATCTTCATTATGAAAAGTTGTAACAAGAAAAGACAAAGTATGGCATGGAGAACATAGACATCTAAACAGGAAGAAAACTGAAAGCCAGAATGCAGAGGAAAAATGTAGGGTTAGATGAAGAGGAAGCTGGCTGTGGCATGCCATATGGCTAAGAAAAAAACATTGTATCTCCTAGGTCAATATTAACTGAACAACTTGCACATTAATCCAGAATAACCTAGGAAATGAAAAGTAATCTTTGAAAAAAAATTTAAGTGACTGAGTACAAGAGAGATGTCACCTTGGTTTAACTAAGTATGCTTATTAGACACCGAAATGCTATCAACAGGATGGCATGCATTTTGGTTTTAGCTGTACGGTGGTAGCATAGCTGAAGTTCAACATTCAGATGTTTCCTTCCCACACAGAAGTCAGACAAGCAGGAATGCACAAGAGTGGAGGCAGTCAAACAGGCCTTTGGGAACATGCAAGTTTCAGCACACTTGTGAACATTATTTGACTTACCTAAAACGTTGAGCCTGCTGAGCTAGAGGGGCAGGATACCTTCTGTTTGGAGAATGGTACAGCTGGGAAAGAATGGCCTGATTGGTTTTTTGGCTTGGATTGTTAGCAAACTTTACAGTGATGGGCTCTGTGGCACCTGGAGGTTTCTGGCCATTCAAGCCTTTGATAGCTTCTTCTGCTTCAATTCGCTTGTCAAACCGGATAAACCCCACGCCCCGTGACACCCCTGCACAAGGTGAAAAAAGCACACAGTAATGAATTCACAGACTCCAGAATACTGCATATTAACTTTTACTTGTGTGGCCAATTGCTATGTTGATGGTCAAATGCTGTGAACACATGATAACTTTGAGCTTAACAGAACTGATTTCTAACATAAAGTAAGAATTTCCTACTGTAATTTTGATTTAAATTTTTAATTTAACTGATGTAAGACACATTTGTGTAAAGAGATTGTGAGTCTGAGGGAAAACAGTGGAAACAAATTTAGTGAGCCAAAGTAGAATTCAGAAATAAAGCAATTTTGTTGGATGGAGATGAACCCAAACCAGCTGCACTGTTACCTCTGGTCAGCTCATGCTATTCTGCAGTACCTAAAGTAACAAAAATTCTGCAAATAGCTTAGTTCTCTGCTCTCTAGCAGTAAAAGATGGCTTTTGCTCTCCTGCAGTATCCCCTGAAGGTCTCTTCAGAGCAAATATGCTCAGAGGATGATGATGTGTACATACTATATTGCAATAATGGGAATTATGGCCATGTTTTACCAGCCACTGGTGACCTCTGAGTAAAATACTTGGTTTCAGTGAATCACCATACATCACTAGGTGTTACTTTTGAAGGAAACTTCTCTTGATATAGAAAAGTCAAAGGCAACATGCAAAGGAATTCAAAAGTGTTTATGGAAGGTCATAGGAACATCATGCATCAAAAATTCCAAGTGTCTTAGACATAAGCATATTGAGCTACATTGGATACTTGAACCAATTAACATTAAAGCTACTAACAGCCAACATTAGTTAGATCAATGTTTTGATCTAACTAATATTTAATATTATTAAATTATTATTAATATTAATATCTACTGTAATATTTCAAGTGCCATTTAGAGCCCTTTTAAATTTTGGTTCATGAATAACCAGACGAGTTAAACATTTGTCCTCAACTGAGAAAGACATTAATGACAAGAAATGTATTCTCTTCATAAACAATGATTTAAGCCATCAAAAGTGACAATGAAGAGGCATAAGAAAGCTTTAAAGAGGCAAATGTCACAGCTTCAACTTTGCATTTTTTATCTGTCAGTTTGTGTCACAACCTTATTATTCATACCATTCTGAGCCTACTTCTTCCAAATTACTAAAGAGGCAAGAAAGCTTAAGCCTTAACAACAATCTATATGCCAGAAAGGATGCTACCAATAGCATGATTTATGAATATGAATAGAATTATAACACATATTAGAAGTTCAATTATATTTACTTACTGGTCCATTCGTTAAATGCCACCCATTTCTATGTATGAATATACAGGAACCTATTGTGAACAGCTATTTATTGCACACAGACTAGGAATCTGTCCCACAAATCTGCTATACCTACAAGTCAAGATTTGGCCTTTAGCTTTCTTTTCCAGGCTTCTCTACACCCTCAACAACTCAACCTATTAAAATACTCTCTAAGTACTACATGTCAACCTTGAGATTTCTTTTAACTTAGTGGAAGTCAAAGGAGTACACACAAAGTCCTCTAAAGGTCAGCCAAGACTCACATACTTGCAAGTGCAAACTTTTCAAAATAAGACAATTAAAAAACCTTATGACCTTCTACAGCTGAAAGCTGTTTGCCACCCAAGAGGATATGTAGCTTTGAAAAGGTACAACTATTAAAAAAAAAAAAATCAAACCCAGCTTATTCAGGGAATAATTATGGGAGTGAATTACTTCATCTGTCCCACCCCTTAACGCTCTGGAAGGGGGAGAGCTTGGAGAGTTCTCCAAACCTGCTTCTTTGTATGTCGTTCAATGCTCCTGTCATGTACTTGGGCTTTTCATTCAATTGCTTATTTCTGGCAGAAACCTCACAGCAGGTGATTCAGAAAACTATAAAGATGCTCAAGATCAGCCATCTGAGACAGCAAAAAACCACAGACATTACTATCCTGAGTCTGAAGAGTAACCACAAAGTGCCACTGACAACCATTACTTGATTGACACACATACTATAATTATGCCAATAACCTGCTACATCTTATACTTTATGGCACAGGTAATCACAGAATTTCTCTGCTCCTGAGGAACTCAAAGTTCATGTGTGTGCCCAAATTTAATGAGTTAGTCTTGAAAACAGTCTTAATAGCAACTGCCAGTCTGGGGCTTCTGTAATCCTAGCCTCAGAGAACCAGCTGTGCATTTCTGCATATAATTTTCTTTTTAGGAAGAAAAAGTTTAATAGCATTTTGTAAGGCACTGGGAAACTATTTTCATACAGCAGCTTGGAAAGGAAGATTATGGAAGCTGTAAATTTGTTACAAGTCATCAAACAAGCTTCAGAACTGCACCTTCAGGGTGGAAATGACTCAAGCTGGCTCAGTACGCTATACAGTCTATTTTTGTCCATGCATATTTATGAACAATTCCAGGAGAAAAAAGCATTTTCTGGCCTAAATACACCTTTTATTCATTATAGAGACAAGACTATTGTACTGAAAGGTGAAATATCTCGAACTGTGAGTCCATGAAAGGCCATGCAAAACTGCCTACTTACCAGTGACTTGATCAACCAGAATACGAGAAGTAATAATACGTCCATATTGGGAAAAGAGCTGTTCCAGTTCTTTTTGGGTCATTGTTTTTGGAAGTCCACTAACATACAAATTTGCATCTCTGATAGAAGCTGAACTTGGTCGTGCATAAGAAACCTTAGGAAAAAAAACATAAAAAAATCCTAGAAAACAAAGACTTTCAAACCAGCTAAAATAGGACAGTGTTATCTGTTCTGAGACATAAAAACATCTCCAACAGCAGACAGAACAGTTACTTTGCAAAGCCAGTTCAGTGGGTTTTTTGGTTTGGTTTTTTTTTTTTTTTTGATTTTGGAGGTTTTTTTGGGAGCTAGCTTCCAAAACACAGAAGGAATGCAACTTAGACTACACAGGAGCAGCCGACTACGTGAATTCATAAATAAAAAGTACTTCCGAATAAATGAGAAAAAGCTAGGTACATATTCCAGCAGGTCTTGGTGGAGAAAGCATATGATTAAAGTGACAAATTTAAGAAGTTCTATGAATGCCCCATGTTCCATGAAGTCTCATTAAAAAGCAGTAAAACATACCAGGAATTAAGATTTCAGTGTGATATGTAGGCCAAAGGCACAGAAAGACAGTCTGAAACACTTATAGGTTTGCAAGTATTTTTAAAGTGCTGTGTCTTTTGTACATGTTGAGCTTGCTACCAAATGACTCATAATGACAATCATTTATGAGATCAAGATAAACTCTGCTAGATCACTTTCACAGGCCTGAGAATGAATGGCAGAAGTAGGACTCCAACCTGTATTTTGCCTGCTCAGCAGCTTCTCAATTTCTGCAACAGAGGCCTTAAAAACAAATGCCATTTATAGGAAATTCTTGGATCCTTTTGGACAGAAGTTTTTTACCTGCTGCCTTGACAAGTCAGTCAAAATTTTTTAAGGTGATTAAGTAGATTCTTTGACCTTCAGACACATGCTACAAAACAGCACTTTCACTACTTCCTACTGAAGTTTGTACAAGTGGTGTTACTACAAGAATGATTAGGACAGAACATCTGTGCTTCTCCAACACGACAAAATACTTCATCTAGGCTTTTCACCTATGTAAAACATAAAAGTAAAAAGGATCCTCAAGAAGTAGTCAGATTTATCTCCTTTCCTTCCCTCCCCCTTCATGTACTATTAGCCAATACTGGGCAACTGGAACTTGATTCTGTCATTCTTTTTGCCTAATTCTTTGATATTTATTTTCAAATCCTTCCTGTCTCATTTCTGCACAGACCAGCAGACTCTTAAGACTGCTATGGAAGCAAAACAGAAGACAACATGCCAGAGATGAAATAAGCAGTACCCTGAACACTGCTGTGATCCTTCAAGTTCCACCCAGAGGCTTTGTGCAAGGTACCTTTGTGCTAGTTGAGGAGGACTGACCTCAAAAACTTGCAGCTATCCAGCATGGAACCTTGTAAGTCACACTGCCTTGTTCTTCCCACTTGAGAGCCACACAAAAGCTAAAGGCCTATGATCAAAGTTACAGGAAAACAGAGTAAAGTGTGCCAGCATTCAGCCAATGAAGCACTATGACAGTGACAGTTACCCTTTTGGAATGAACAAACTTGCTCTACTTGCCCATTTAGCCTTGAGCTTCTTTAAGAAATAAACTTCCATGCCTCAGTTGGCAGGATTTTAAGGAGACTCAAGGCCAAGGAATGGAGAGACTGCCTGGGCAACAGGATTAGTCCTAGTAATATCTTGAATGACCAAAGCCACGCAGACACTGTCTTTCAAGGGGGAGTTCACACTGCTGGACACATGCTGCCACATATAAAAATATAAATTCACAAAGAGTCTATCAGAAGAGAAGAAACCTGAACAAAATATTTGCTAATTTACTGCAAGTTTATCTTATGATACAGAACTGGTACCTGTCAAGATACAAAGCAGCTTTTGCAAAACTCTTTTATTTTCCTCTGGTAAGAGAGTATGAGCTCTTGCATTATGACAGCTGGTCGGGTATTACCCATGCCCTCTCTGGTTAAAACAGTTCAAATTGTTTAACACAGCAGTCAAGGCCTACACTGAGTGCAGGTAAATGGAAGCAATACTCTAACCAGTACACCCTACTCTTACATATCCAGTTTCACTGTTACTACCCTTCAAGTGACTACTCAAATACACTGAATTTGGGCACATTAGTCACAGTAATAACACATATTAAACCAAAATCTGTGGTTCACCACCAATATCTGTACACTATCTCTCCCTACCTATATCCTGTCAGTTTGCTCATTCAGTAATTACTGATAGCTCTATATTTAGTCTCTTTAAACAACTTTTATATGGACTGAATTAACAACTGTGCCAAGATTTTCATTCCACATCTAATGCAATAGGTGAACATTTCAGTTACATGATGTCAAAACCACTGAACACAAGGCAAGTCAAGAAACAGCCTGAAAGCCTGCAGTTTTAAATATTGAATGATGACACACACTTTACAATATTGAACAGCATTACTCTGGAGATACCAATTTAAAAGCAGTTTTACTGAAATTTTCCACTGCAGTTAGTAGGAAAGACTTGTTTCTAAGTGCAAATATTACACCATTAAATCTAAGTCTTTTCACTGCTTTAAAACTTAATTTCCTAACAACAGGATGAACTGAGTCACAATTTTCAAGCGAAAACTGTGAACGCAGGTTAAACAAAGAAGTTATCAAAAATTATATAGAGGTATAGCCCCTACAAGGGAATGCTTCAGTTTCTTATTATCTGCTACTACCTATAGACACCTCACTACCATGCTTCAAGCTCTTTTATCTTTTTATTAGTAGAGTAGTAGTATTATTAGTACAAATACAAACTATTTGTATTCTCTCAAAAACTTGAGAATTTAATATAATTTCTTCCTAAACACCTCTACTTAATGTAGTCTTCCAAGTCTTTAAATCTTAAATCTCTAAGTGCTAAAATCAGTATTTCAGTAAATATTCACATTCTCTAGCTCAAGTGTAATCTTTCTGCTTAAAACACAACTTGTCCTTAAGAGTAGTGTCCAGTTCTTTTAGAATACATGTTTCTGTGGGGGAAAGAAAACTCCAACAAAAAACTACTACCCAGTATGTCCAGATGAAAATGGGTTAAAAACCTACCTCCAAAGCAGACAGATTTATATTGAGAAAAGGAGTACATTAGGAACAGGTATGCCTCCTCAGCAAGCACAGTAAAAACAAGGACATACTGCTTTTTCTTACAGCAATGTTTTCAGAGGCCATTGTGCCAGGCAAGTGTTCTCAATTTGCACTTAAATTTGTATGCAATACCACAATTCAAGAACTCTTCTTAATTTGATTTCTAGTAAGAAGATGTTGCAGCATATCGCAAAGATGAGGTCTCAGCTGTCACCAGCCAGTGACAGGTTGTTGCCCGAAACAGGAGAGTACATTGCTGTACATATCCTGTATATTCATCACGTCCGCCTCCCGTCTCCCCTCAAATAAGGACTGTTCCACTCCAAACAAAACTTCAAGGCCACTTTTCCCAATACACAAGACTACCTTACTGAACATGTACATGCCGAGTTCATGGTGGAAGCCTGCAGTAGCACACTTCTGTGGACAGTGCAAACTGGAAATCCAGACTGCCCTTTGTAAAGGCAACTTACATCCACCTCTGTGGAACTGAAAGACCTCAACACAGCTCACCTACAAGTTTAGATTAAGCTGATAAACACAACCATATCTCAAAGGTCCTGATTTTACAGCCTGCTGTACAATAAGGAATGCATTGAAAAAACAGACACTGAAGCAACAGTCTTTCAGCATTATCATCAGAAGGGTTTCCCTGTTTTAGTTCACCCCTCAAAGTGTTCCAGCTCTAACAGCTACAGCCAGAGTCACAGGCCTGAGGTGGGTCATGGGATCCACATCTGTTGCCACTCAGCTGAGGGCACGAATGGACCAACCTGACAAATATAGACTTAAGACCAGTCTTTTTTATATTTGAGGGGACTAGGATGAGAAGTCTTCCTCAGGATATATAACCAATTAAGGACAGGTTATATGTCTTTAATATATAAGACATGCTGCTTATATGCTCAAAAGGAAGACCTCATAAAATGCTGCTGTATGTAGCACAGAGGAAGACCAGAAAACAGGCTTTCAGAAGATTTGGTCTGAAGTGACTGACACCCAAAAGTCCACTTGGTGAATGGAAGCAAATGTATGTATGTGCTAAGAAGAGAAACCAGCTGAAAATCCTGCCACTGATGGAAACAGAAGCAGAGGTTTTACCAGAAGTCTCAAGATACTGTAGCAGTTTTAAATCAGAGTCATAAGTGTTTGACAAAAGAAAAACAATTATCAAGTTCACTGCCATAAAACATGATATGGGAATTATGCACTACATTCACAGAATAGCGATTCTGTTTTGCCCTTAGAGGGACTAGTACAGAAGAACACTTTAAAACTTGCAGTCTGCAACTATCACTATCTTGCTAAAAATAGGAAATACTCAACTTAGAATTTAAGTACAAATAAAATATATAAACTGAAAGGAGATCAAGTCTCCAAACATTTCCTACTTTTCATATTCTTAAGAGTCTCAAAAGATGTTTCCTGTACTTCACATTTATAATTCTGATCCCGACTCGTGCCCAAACAATGAGAGCACAGGGATTTCAGATGCACTAGGAATAAAAAAAAAGCAGTTACCTTTCAAGGAGGACAGGAGTACAGAGTATAATATTAAGCCCTCCACATGAATAATATAAACAGAAATAGAATCTTAAACACAAGACCTCAATTATTCTCCTGAAGGAAATGAGTAAACCTCAGGTTATACTTAAGAAGCTTCCACTACTGACAGAGACTCTGACAAACACAACACTTGGGCATCTCTTGCACTATTCCACAGACACATCTAGAGATGCACAAAACACATCCATTCAACTTAAAGTTCACTGGAATATCTTACAACCCTTCTGGAAAAACTATTACTGCATGAATGAAAGACAAGAGAGTCAACATTTAATATGACAAAAAAGCTTGAAAGCTTGCTAGATTATCAGAGGTCTGTTTGTCTCAAGACTACCATAATTTCCAAAGTAAGCATAACCATGCTTTACATTAATAAACCCTCTTACAAATAAGACAGATACTGGATTTAAAA